CTCTGCTGGTGCGGAATTCCTCCAGCTTCCTGTGCTTACTGTCACTGTAGTATCTGGACATACACATACAATCAGCATGACTGAGCAATAATGCAAAGATGACATTTATGCAACAAAACATGTTCAGGTCTCCAGGTATGTTTGACTTTATGATGCAAGACCAGAGATTTTAACCATCTTTCCTGTATTTTGGTTGAGGCCAATAAAGAGAATAGGTACAAAAACATAATTTAACAATGATCTTTCACACTTCAGTAAATGAAACCTTATTTATAACCTTAAAAAGATGCCAACCTAAATAATTTATCCTAATCAATTTAGATTAGTGACATGGGGCTAGACAATATGAAGTAAAATGGATGAGAAGTATAGCTGTCTCAGGTGATTCAGACATATTTTATAGGAACGGTATTGACTAAAATAAAACCACTGATGTACAGATGCTTTTTACTTTTCCTCTACTGTTGTAGTTTTAAACCTGGCGGTCTCTACTACTCTCTTTCACCTCTCTGGAATGCCTCTCCCTTTCCTGGGTAGAGCAGGGGCAGATGCAAAATTTGTTTCAAATTTTCTTTTCCATTACTTTCCATCAAATTCAGAATCCAATAAAAAAAATTGTGATCACATTTAGCATTAAAAACTGACTGTAGCCCTACAGCGCCAGGTGTTCAACTTGGATTTTGTTAATGCCCATGTTTATATTTTTCAGTGGAAATTCTTCAGTGCCAATACAACTTTTCTACAACCCCAAGTAAGAAAAAAAAGAATTGATGGTAGTGATGTGTAAATCATCTGTGTCCTGTTTTACATTGAAAACAATGCAGCAGCACATTATTTGACGTGATACCTCAATTTTATTCTTTGGTCAAAATAAACACTCACTTCAATTCTGTCACCTGCAACATATTTCAATAAAAGGTGGGTCGGCTGCATTTCAGGGCCACTAATGAGGTAAAACAATGGAAATGATGATTCCATTTGAAACAGGTGATGTCAACGAATGACTGCATCATGATGTGGTACAAAAGTGGCATCCAGGAAAGGCCGAGCCCTTTACGAGCAAAGACGGCCTGAGGACCACCAGTTTGCCAACATGTGTGTGTGAGAAAATTATTGAAATGTTAAAAAACAATGTTCCTCAAAGAAAGATAGGAAGGATTTGGATATGTCACCCTCTATGGTTCGGAGCATCATTACAGAAGACATGCCACAAGCTGGATGGCCTAATGTGGCACATTCTGAAACACAAATTACATCAATGCAGACCCAGGACTGTTGTGCACCTTAAGACCTGTTTGTAGGAAGAATGGGACAAAGTGACACCTGACACACTTAATCACTTGGTGTCCTTAGTCCCTCAATGTCTTAAGTGAACAGGAACGGCAAAATCACACAGTGGTGAACTGAACCTTCTTTTTAAAAAGATATTTGTCAAGTGTTAAAAGATTTACATCTTCAGTAATGTGTATTAAAAGACCAATACATTGCTGGTTTGGTTCTTTTCATGGGATTGATTTGACAACAAGAACATATAACACCTTCATCCTTTAAATTCAGTGGTTTTAACAATCTTGAATTTGGCAGGCTGATATCAGAGGGTATGCGACAGTAACAATGTTATTTCCATTTCTCACCTGTCCTGTCTGTCTCTGTCCTTGCTGTCTGTTCGGTAGTTTTCTCTGTCTCGGTGGTCTTTACCATTGCTGAAGGAGGAGTATGCTCTTTTCCTGGACTCTCCTCCACTCCTCCTGTATGATTCTGAGCTGTCTCTCTCCTTGGTGCTGCTGCTCTCATGGTATCGACCTGAGGCCTGATGCCTTTCTGAGCTGTAGCTGTCCCTGCTGCTCTCATCCTGGTGAGAGTTGTCCTTCAGCCTTTCAATATCTGGAGGATCAAGACCAGAAATAAATATGTAAACAGTTATAACTTTATAACAATTTATTCTCCATGTGTAACAAAGGGAAGCCAACTGTACCTGCGTGTTTATAGCTGTGGGTGTTTATACTTCTAGCGTTCTGCTCCATTGCCTGGAAAAACTATCATCATTATGATTTCCTAATATTAGCACAGAAAGGATACTGTAATCAATATCGGTTTAGAGCATTCACATACCTGGGCATTCTCTTGTCTCTTCTTGACTGCATGCTTATACAATTTATGTAATTTCCTGGCATCAAACTCAGTGAATTTGGAAACAAATATCCACAGGTTTCTGTAAACAACAAACATCACTAACTTCCGTATATCTGCAACATGTGAAAAAAAAAAGGCAATCTTTAGAGGCTATATGCCATCAGAACCACGTGTCAGAGGTTTGGATAGCTTCGAAATCCCTCTCCCCCAAATCTTTCCAATGTTGGATTTGTGAAGGGCTGTGTCTGACCGTTTCTGTAAGTTTCCCAAAACTGACCATTCAAGATTTTCACAGTTTTAGCTCTGCAAAGATAAAAAATGTACACTGGAGCCCCTTTTACACTGCTCGTTCAAGGCGGGATTATTGCATCAATTTGCTGCCACACCATCAGTGCTGACCTTCCTTTATTCTGCCACGAGAAACTGTAAAATTGGCTCTACCTTTCCGCCTCTGTGTAGAAGTGGACAGGCAGCCTGGGGGATTGTGGGCAGAGGAGTGTAATGTTTTGACGAATTGTTATTTCTGTGACCCACAGCCAGGGGATTTCAATTTTAATGTTTAAACACAATCCATGATCATAGTTAACATGTTGTAACTGTCTTTTGCCTGGTTTTCCCCAAAAAGACTGTTAGTCAACTTCAGCTCATTCAGAATGCTGCTGCCAGAGTTTTAACAAGAACCAAGAGAACTGAACATTGACTACCAGTTACCTACAGAAGTGATTTTAAAGTGCTACTGCTAGTTTCTAAATCACTCAGTGGTCTGGGGTCAAAATACATTTCTGATCTCCTTGAAGCATCCAAACCCAGCAGGGCTCTCAGATCCTTAGGGCGCAGTGAGCTGGTAGGACCTCAGATAAGAACCAAACAGGGTGAAGCTGTTTTTAGCTACTATGCTGCACACAGATGGTCCCAACCTCCTTAGGACCTTAAATGTGCCCCAACTCTAGCCACCTTCAAGTCTAAACTGAAAATTCTAATATTTTCCTAAGCTTTCATTTGATTAGATTCTATTCTGACCTGTAACTGTGAGCTTTTATTGTGTCAATTCATTCGTCTTCATTTATGCACCTTATCTTAATGTTTTATCTTTTTGTCCTTACAGATTTTCAGCTTTAATGTTTATTGTTCTTAATGCCGTTACTCTTTTTCTGTGTCTATGTCAAGCACTTGGAATCGCCTCTGTGTGTGAAATATGTTATATAATAAAGATGCCTTGCCTTCTTCCTGGAGAAGAAAATGTGTTTAAACAATGTGTCCTTTCACTTTGCTGGCCCCACCTTGGACCGTTCAGAAAACACACTGTATTAATCACAGCTTTACTAGTATAACCCAGCACTTGTACTCCAAGCACACTGACCCAGAATAAACCTTTGCTGATATGTGGAATGCACAGAATACATTGGTTGAATGGGACAGAATACACCAGACAGTGCATACTAACTTTCGCCACTGTTTGATGAGGTCGGGATTCGAATACCCCTTCAGGCACTCTGTGATGTGGTCTCCAATCTTTATGAGGCACTGTCTTGTATGTTCAAGCTGCTCACGCTCCGACAGCCCTTTCTCTGGTCTGTCCAGCTGCTTCAGGGCTGCTTTCACGGGCCGCATCCTCTCTTTACACTGCAATATTCAAACAAGAGTAAAATTCCAGCAACTCCAATCCACACGTTGGCATCTTAGCCATAAGTTTATTTTAATACTGCTACCATTCCATTAATTAGTGACAATTTCAGCCAAAATTATACCATAAATATACATTAGAGTACAACAAATAATTAAAAACAGGCTATGCTTTGCCATTAGCTGAACATTTAATTACATACAGTCACAAGAAAAGATCATGACTTTTTGTTAGAGATATTGTGTTTGTTGATATGTGACCTTTGTACAGATCAGATCGCACTTCAGGACCAATTTATGCAGAACACCAGGACATTGCGAACAGCGCCATTACTTTATTTTGCGACTATAATGTCTATCTGAAGATTTGATCATCAGTCGAACATACCACACTGAAGGTCTTCTGGTCTAGTTCCTCAGATTCATCAGACACTGGCATGTTTTCTCCACTTGCCGTTATATGGACAGGCATGTCCGAGGCTTTCTTTGTTCGTTCACGTACCTCGGTCTTTAATTCAATATAAAGGGATAAAAAGGATATGACAATTAATTCTTAAACACTCTGTCCTTTAACAGATATTCTACTTAACTGACAGCCTAAAAGAATATATCCCATACAACTTTTTTCACCTTTTCCTTGCTCTCCTCTTGTTTATGTACTACCTCCAAGGGCTTTGTTTCTTTTTTCTCTTTAAGCTCCTTTGTCTCTTTAATGTCCCAACTTTCTTCCTTCTTCTCCTTTTTGCTTTCTTTTTTGATCTCTTTTTCTCTGACCAGCTCCTCGTTGTCTGATGAAGAAACCTCCTCTTTCTCAGGTTTCTCATCTTCCTCATCCTCCTCCTCCTCCTCTTCCTCATCCTCCTCCTCCTCCTCCTCCGGTCAGAGACCCTCCCCAGCCTCTCTGCTCTGCCCCGTCTGTTTGGTGGCTTAACTGGTGCCCTCTCCTTGAAAAGGTTAAAGCAACACATTAAATCCAAATTAAAGATAAGCATTAACTTTATGCTACAGCAAGCAGAACAGCACTACCATGATGTAAATGTACCTTTTCCTCCACAGTTTTATCCTCATCGTCTGACATCTTGTCTGATGTTGGATCTGAGGACGGGCTCTTCATCAGCTCATCTGTCTTTGTTGGCTTGAAAGTTTTGCTTTTTTTACTTCTTGGTTTCCTCTTACGTGAACTGGCCTACAGACATACAAAGAGGCACAGCAGATTCTGGTAGACACACATTTTAATCCATCCACATCAGTTATGAAAACTGCTCATCTAGTTAGTGATGCAGCGAAACATTGGCATGTAGGGTCACTCTAAGACTTACTGTTCCTGCTTGCTTCTGAGCTTCTTTTTTGGCCAGGTCTTTGCTCAGTAACTTGATGAGGTAGTCTGCTCTGGTCTGTAGCTGTTTGGCCTGTGGCTTCTTGTCAGGGTCATCTGGCAGGAGCTGATCAACAGTGGACACGGTACACACTGAACATGAGATCAGTGGATCGGAAATTATGTTCTGGTGTTTGTGTGTCACCTCTGCTCTGTAGCTGTGTTTGACTGAGGGCGGGGCTCAGCTCCGCACACAGAGGACAGCAGCACAGGAGAGTGACTCAGTGAAGTGAAATACTACTCAACGCCTATTCTTGTTAAGTCTCTGTGAATAAAAACTCAGTAAAAGTAATTTATCAAAACACTTGTTAAACTAGATTAAAATTACAAAGAAGAAATAATTTGAGCTTTGCGATCTATTTTATTTCATAAAAGGACTGCTACTGACTGCTGCATTGCTTGTTTTGTACAAATTAGTCAATCAGTGACGACAATTCATGCCAATTTTTTCCACATGTTTAGGTCGTGGCTACTTTCATTTTAATAAAAGGAAAGCAAAAAGAAATGAAAAAGCTGATTTATTATTTAATGAATGGCATTTTTTCCATCTTACTGTTTGGGGATGCACAACAGTATAGCAGGCTTCTGAAGTGTCTGACCATACAGGCACTGTCCCAGATAAATAATTATAATTTGTTACACTGGGTTTCATATATCTAGTCAAATTACCTACTGCATGTTCCACTTCTGCAGCACAATTCCACTCTCAAGAATTATTACATGTTGATTTCATAAATAAATCTTAAAAATAAATCTGAATACAATGCTCTCCAACATTCGTACAAACTGTGGGCTACTCGTTTGTAAAATTATTCACCAATTAATCCTCCGAAGCCCAATCACAAAATGAAAACAGACAAGTCTTACTAAAATAGCCAAAATCATACCTTGTGTTGCAGCAGGTATCTAAAATGATCAGCCACTGAGAGGGACAGCGGGTAAAAAACAAACTCGACTCCCAACTATTTTTGGGCATTTATTGAAGAAACAAACCATCAAGCCAGTCATAATGTGGAACATGGGCTAACTGGACAAAAATCCCCACAACATCATGGCCAACAGAAATAAGCGCTCCCATCTCTTCTTCCTCTTGCACCAAACTGCCAAACAACCAGTGCACAGGTAATATTAATCTGTCCTCTACAGCTATGCCCCATTAGTGACTGCATGACAAGCATACAACCCAAATACCTTCTTGGCTCCTACACGTTGCAAGGCCTAGTTTTGCGGACTTATTGAAGTCAAATCAAACTGTCGGCTACCAAACCAAATCATCACTGTGCACAGCGCTGCTTTTCATATCACTATCTCCACATCATGTGTATTCCATACACCTGCCTCAGCTGTGTGCAACGCAACGTGATATGATTTTTCGGTTGTCTCTGTATTCACAGTGCTAATGTCTCAATTACTTTTATTGTGAATGCAAATCCTCTAGTTTCCTATCAAAAAACGTGATCACCAAACTTGTTTACATGGTCTCATACTGTCATTAGCTAGCACCACTTTTCAAATAACACTGTGGTAGTGGAGCATCATCAGGACCAAATTTTAAATAATCATCGTCATACTCCATGTTCTGCTCGCTCCAGACCAATCATGGTGAGCATTACATTTTTTCATGCTGGCCCTTTCCACCACAACAGGTGGATTTAATGTTATGGCTGGTTGGTGTATAAAATGCAACAAGCGAAACTATGATATAAAGGTGTATGCAAGAACATTAATGACACATGCAAGTTAATGGGGATGGTGCAGAGTACATAGGCTAAGAGTAAAGATGTTGAAGAATGTTTAGGCATACTCAGATTTACTTTTAACTGTCAGCAGGAGCAGTCATGTTCGTATTGGCTCTTTACAATAGCATGGCATCTTTCACAAACATAAATTTTAAGTAATACAGTGTTTTCGTTAACATTGAAGACTTCTGTGTAAAAGCTCTAATCTTGAACAAATAATTTTGTTTAATAATGCACTGCGCAGGAACATTGCAAAACAATTGTTTAAATTAATCCATTTTTAATTATGTGGAAAATAGATTTCTGTAAGTTTTTTATACATCCGATTAATCGTAGAAATAATCAACAGATCAATAGATTAAAATAATTGTTAGTTGCAACCTTATTGCACCTAATAAGACAAATATATAGCACATGAATCCTTGAGAATCAAATAAAGAGATTAGAAATGTGTTGCGCCTGAACTCACCTTGTGTGTGAGATTAAGGTCCGGGTCCATCTTGATCATCTCCCAGCTGCCATAACCGTACTCATAGATTCCTATAAGGAGGCTGGAGTCATCCTCCTTCCCCCACTCAATGTCAAAGTGTGCTGCCTTTGAGTGACATGGAATCATATACCTATTCAAATACACACAATTAAGATCTAGAAATCCAAAACTGATCATGTCATATTTAGCAACAGAGGTGCATGATGTCCTGCCTAACAGAAACCATGTAACGTAGCAGAAGCTTTACTTCTTTCCCCAGGGTCAGCAGAAATGGCTTTGTGAAGTGGAGCCAGCTCCTCCTCGTGGGAGATAACAAGCTTAGCATTCACTTGGACTCCAGAGATCCTGAATGTAGGGCCTTTCACCTTCCCTCTTCTGCCTCCTGATGATCAAACAAGTAGAAAAAAATAGCAGTTTAATTATATTTAATTTAATTTAATTATGTTCCAAGGGTTGGGTGCAGTATGTAGGCTGTCCCAGTTGGAGCACAGTATGTAAATTAAGTTCCCACTGCAATAGACCTGCTGAGCCAGAGGCCAGAGCTGCCTACTACTTTACAATATACTGAAATTGAAATCAATTTGTCACACTGAATTTTTCAAGAGCTTCTTGAATTAAATGCTGAATCTGGTCCTGGTTTTAAAAATATTAGGTCTATCAGCTCATATGAATAAAACAAGAGGGAGCTGAACAACGCACCCCATGACAACAAGAGGTTTGTCTTCTAATTGAATTTGAAAGAACTGTAAAGGTGCTATAATTGAAAACTGGCAGCTTAAAAAACATCATCCTATGTTTCATAACAGTTTGCAAACACCAGTATTTCTAATTATGAACTCATGGAAAAGATCTGTTTGGTTACCTGAGGTCTTCTCTGGTCCACAGGGGTTTTCCCGTAGTGTTCTCATACAGCCGTTGTGAACAGTCTCTGCCAAGCGTTTCAGGTCATGCTCAGACTTATCCACAAGTTCAGCATCACGAGCAATAGCATCCAACCTGAGTGAAGCAGACATGTTAAGCAGATTGTATGGCATGTTTTAGTTACTAAAATAAGTAAATGTGATGCATTTTACCTTTCCAGTGGTCCTCCAAATTTTTTGTAACTCTTGACAAACCTGCAAGATGTTGACAGGAGTGTGAGGAGGAGTAAATAAACTGTCACACTGAGAAATTACTTATTAATATGGTCACCTTCGTATCTCAGCATCAGTGAAACCCTTGATATTTTCTCGTGGAATGGTTCGAGGCCGTCCTCGTTTCTTTGGCCTCTTTCGGTCTGAGGGCGAGTCGCTGTCAGACCCTGAGTATCGCCTGTTCCTGCTTTGCCGGCCCTCACTAGAGTTAAAGCTTATCTATTAACACAACCCCCCCCCAAAAAAAATTTAAGGTTCAATAAGAACATAGCACACAATTCCTCTGAATAGCATCTTATGTTGAACAATTTTTCTAAAAACCTAAATTACAAATCCTACTTAAATTTGACATGATTGTGTGTGTACCTGTTTGGCACAATTTCTCATGCGTGGCAGCATGTAGATTTCCTCCAGCTCCTTTTGTCTCTCTTCCTCCTCCATCCTCCTCCTCTGCTCCTCAGGAATAATGTCATCCCAACTCCGCTGACTTCGCTCAGAGTCTATATCTATTTCTTCATCTTCCATCATGGAGAAGTTGGCTACCTGCACAGTCGGTACCACAAACAACTGTGAAACTTGCTGAAAAACACAACAGAGCATATCGACTCTATATAAAAATTTGTTTAAAAAATGTTTTGACCTTAAACTGAGACAGCAGTTCTTCTCCCACTGTGGAGGGTCCAGGGTCATTCTCCCTGGTCTCAGCTCTTTTGAGAATCTCATCAATGTCCATTTCCTACAGAGCAGAAGAGGATGTTAACACGCTACTACAATACATTTCAGAGAATTTTTGACATTTTTGCAGATTTATTAAAAAAGAAAAACTGAAATATCACATGGTCATAAGTATTCAGACCCTTTGCTCAGTATTTAGTAGAAGCACCCTTTTGAGCTAATACAGCCATGAGTCTTTTTGGGAATGATGCAACAAGTTTTTCACACCTGCATTTGGGGATCCTCTGCCATTCCTCCTTGCAGATCCTCTCCAGTTCTGTCAGGTTGGATGGTAAATGTTGGTGGACAGCCATTTTCAGGTCTCTCCAGAGATGCTCAATTGGGTTTAAGTCAGGGCTCTGGCTGGGCCATTCAAGAACAGTCACGGAGTTGTTGTGAAGCCACTCCTTCGTTATTTTAGCTGTGTGCTTAGGGTCATTGTCTTGTTTGAAGGTGAACCTTCGGCCCAGTCTGAGGTCCTGAGCACTCTGGAGAAGGTTTTCGTCCAGGATATCCCTGTACTTGGCCGCATTCATCCTTCCCTCGATTGCAACCAGTCGTCCTGTCCCTGCAGCTGAAAAACACCCCCATAGCATGATGCTGCCACCACCATGCTTCACTGTTGGGACTGTATTGGACAGGTGATGAGCAGTGCCTGGTTTTCTCCACACATACCGCTTAGAATTAAGGCCAAAAAGTTCTATCTTGGTCTCATCAGACCAGAGAATCTTATTTCTCACCATCTTGGAGTCCTTCAGGTGTTTTTTAGCAAACTCCATGCAGGCTTTCATGTGTCTTGCACTGAGGAGAGGCTTCCGTCGGGGCACTCTGCCCTAAAGCCCCGACTGGTGGAGGGCTGCAGTGATGGTTGACTTTTTACAACTTTCTCCCATCTCCCGACTGCATCTCTGGAGCTCAGCCACAGTCATCTTTGGGTTCTTCTGTACCTCTCTCACCAAGGCTCTTCTCCCTCGATAGCTCAGTTTGGCCGGACGGCCAGCTCTAGGAAGGGTTCTGGTCGTCCCAAACGTCTTCCATTTAAGGATTATGGAGGCCACTGTGCTCTTTGGAACCTTAAGTGCAGCAGAAATTTTTTTGTAACCTTGGCCAGACCTGTGCCTTGCCACAATTCTGTCTCTGAGCTCTTCAGGCAGTTCCTTTGACCTCATGATTCTCATTTGCTCTGACATGCACTGTGAGCTGTAGGGTCTTATGTAGACAGGTGTGTGGCTTTCCTAATCACATCCAATCAGTATAATCAAACACAGTTGGACTCAAATGAAGGTGTAGAACCATCTCAGGGATGATCAGAAGAAATGGACAGCACCTAAGTTAAATATATGAGTGTCACAGCAAAGGGTCTGAATACTTTAGGACCATGTGATATTTTAGTTTTTCTTTTTTAATAAATCTGCAAAAATGTCAAAAATTCTGTGTTTTTCTGTCAATATGGGGTGCTGTGTGTACATTAATGAGGAAAAAAATGAACTTAAATGATTATGATAGCATATGGCTGCAATATAACAAAGAGTGAAAAATTTAAGGGGGTCTGAATACTTTCCGTACCCACTGTATACAATTCAGTATCTATAGTACAGACTTTAAATATTTGAATAGTTACACATTTTTTGATCTTTAGGCCTTGTGCTTCAACAAATTCAGTAACTGGTACTTACACTGAAGTGCCAAGGCTCATCTTTAATCTGGGTGGGTTTACATCAATAATGCATCTTATTACAGAGACTAGAACATATCACTGGGATTAAAACCACTTGTGGTGAGGTAAGGAAGAGTTTGTCCTGAGCATGCAAAGGTATAGGCTATTGAGGAATATGATCCACTGACTAACTAAAAAGGAGCTTATGTGGGTTTTTTGGCACTAGTAAGCCATTACTGTGGCTTCTGTAAAGTTTTGCTACCATGAAAGGGAAAGCTAAACATGTTTTGTCTCCAGAGTGCCAGAAGGCATTTTAAAAAGTTTAAGCTCTAACTGGTAACACACTCACTTTTGCAATGTAGTCATGTTATAGGTGGAAACATTCAGGGTCTAAGTGAAGTGTAAAAGAAGTGACAATGCTTAAGACCTACTCTCAAGTACATCGGGACACATCAGCACCGTTTTAATGCCAACTTGAAAAATCCTGAACTATTCTTTTCAAGTGCTTCCAGAATTCAGTTGCTGAGGATGCAGGAAATTAAAGAGTAGAATGGGTTAGGCAGTAAGGTTATGCGTTTTCATGGAATGTCTGGATATGTACATATATTAATTTTTGAATTTTGTAAGTCTATAGTTAACTTGCTGGTTTAACTGGAATCTAGGTGGGGTGGGGATACTGGTGCTGAACACATTGTGCTACAAGTAGTAACTGGGAGCACCTGGTCAGTGCTCAAGAGCCTGTATAAGTCCTCCTCCCCGTGGCTTACTGTGCCTGTCTTCACACCCTGCTAAAAATGTTTAACTTTCTGGTTTTGTTCTGCAAACACCACAAGAACCCTTCACATTTTCATGAATTCATTTCTTTACACTTCTGACACTGCTTCCACATCACATTCCTGTTCTCTATCATTTAATTAAAAAAAAAACATTTGCTTAATATTTTTAATTTGGCAGTGTGTCTCCTTTTTACAGTGGCCTGTGAGCTCAGCCTAACATAGTCAATGATCAAGACTTCCTGACAATTAAAAGATGCCAAATCCTAATAACGACCCTCAAAAAAGACCAAGATGCAGTTAGCAAAACGAAATTGAGAGAGTTCTGGAACAAAGTTCAGTGGACTGATAAAACAAAAATCTACCTACCTATCGGTCAGAATGATGAAAAGAAAAACAGCTATTGATCCAAAGCATACCACCTATTCCTGTCAAGTATACATGGTGGTTCTGTTATGGTTTGGAGATGTATGGCTACAATTGGAACAGGCACAATGGCATTTATTGATGATTTCAATGCTGACAGAAACATCATGGATGCAGGAGCACTTTGTGCTCTCAGATTCAGCCAAATACAAAATTAACTGGACACAATTTCATCATTCAGGAGGGCATCAACCCTAAACACATGGCCAAAGCAACCAAAGAGCTTTTTAGGGAGAAGAGGTGGAATATATTTGATTGGTTAAGTCAGTCATGTGATCTCAATCCAATTAGGCAAACATTCCAGACTAGACTAAAGGAAATGAGACCCCAAAACAAACAAGAGCAAGGTGGCTGCAGTGAAGACCTGGGAAAGCATCACCAGAGATGTTACAAAGGGTCTGGTAATATCTGTAGGTTAAAAAATTTCAGGCAGTCATTGACTGCAAAGAATTTTCTACAAAATATTAAATATGTGTATTGGTCATGTTACTTCTGC